CTAAGCTCATTCTTTAACAATAATATTGCCCTTTTGACTTGCTGACTTTATTATGTGGTGCTTACAGCATGCAGCTTATCCAGATCTGGATGGTTCTACTTCATTCTTTGGTGTTTATGATGGCCATGGAGGAAAGAAATTCAGTTCTTTTATTTTCTTATCTCTTTTAAAATTTTTGTATATACATTATCTCCTCACAATGTATTGAACGTTTAGTTGTTGTGTTATTACTTGTTTGCTTTGCCAGCTAGAATTGCATGATCTAAAAGTAATTTGTTAACTCTTTCTTTTCCTGAAAAAGTTGTAAACAATACATATCTGCTGGCACTGCACCAAATATTTCATAGCTTTTCCTTTTCTTGCTTATGTATTTTGCCTCATCAAGGTCCATAGGTATAATCAGCAAACAACTCATTTTATTTATTTTTTGGTTAAAATTATCCTCTGCCTCTCAACCTGAAGGAACATCAAAGCATTTTTGCCCTTAAAGGAATGGTCTCAGATTTTTTTTCTTTTTAATATAAATTGAAAAAGGGTAACCCTCTCTCATTGGCTTTTGCTGTTGATAGCCAAACATTCATTTAGGATCAAGTCTCCCTCTGTCTCTTCAAAAATATAAGAGAGAACGTCCATGCACCCATTCCCCAAATTATATGCTCTTTTCTCTCAGCAACATCTATTAATCTGCAGGCAAAGCAGTGGCAAAATTTTGTGCCAAGTATCTTCACCAACAGGTGCTCAAGCATGAAGCCTATTTGGCTGGGGATATAGGAACTTCAGTTCAGAAAGCTTTTCTCAGGTTTTATTTATTTCTATATTTATTTATTTTTTTTATTTCATCTAACTGTATTGTTGATGCCTGAATGCAATAATTAACTCAAGCATTGGGTGGTTGAGAAGGTCTCATTTAGTTGGATTTCATGGGTTCTAATTTGCCTGCTAATCTGTAAATAGAATTTGGATTTTGAGGTGCATACATTTTGTTTACTTGAATGTTGTTAGACTAAGCCAATTATCATTCTAAGCTATTCTACTTTGACTAATGGCTTAATTTTGGTACTGATTTTTCTTATTGTTTTTACTATTGCTTTTATAATATTGTTTAATAAATAAGTTGTTTATATTCATGATTTTCAAGAGTGAATAAATAGAAATAGAGTAGTGGGATGGAGGATATTCATATCTGACAATGCAAATTAACAGTGATTGCAATAAATAGTGTGGCTTATAAATTCGCTGTGATTTTCAATTCTTGGATCATTTCAATGTTCTTTTCCATTTTATCTTCACTTGAATCTGATTTTGAGCCTTTTTAGCAATTGTTTTTCTTTCAATCAGTTATTATTTTTGATGTAAATGAGTGTGTTTGTATCTCAGATTTTGCTGTCTTGTTAGATTCTTCTAAGTTCTGTAATATTGACTGTGCAGAATGGATGAGATGATGTGTGGCCAGAGGGGATGGAGAGAGTTGGCTATCTTGGGAGATAAAATAGACAAGGTTTCGGGCATCATAGAAGGGTTTATTTGGAAGAGTGGGGAGGCCAATGGCCATACTGATGATTGGCCTTATGAGGAGGTATTTTTGATAGTGAATTAATTGTTCATTTCATGAAGTGGTTTTATTAAACATTTTCCTGACCATCATAAACTTGTCAATTCTGAATTTTCAATTGTCTTTATGAGGAGGATCTACACTTGATTCATGTTTCTATGGATGCTGTTTGAAATCCTGTATAGTTGTGATGATTACTGCTAGTATTGGCCTGTCTAATATTTTACATTTGTTATCCATGATTATGACTTTAAGTTATTATGTACACATATTTTATTTTTGGATTATGTTGCAGTATCCCACTCATTGCAAGATCTCTTGGCATTAATTTCATTCTTTAATGGGGAATCCACCCTCTATTTTCATGCCTATGTTTAGAGGTTCACTATATGGGCTGAGGAATTCTTGAGGTTGCTCAAGTAGATATACTTGTGACTATGTAGATATGAAAAATTCATTAATTAGTTAGAGGGAAGATGTGAGATTTGCTTTGGTTTTGTATGTTGGATGTCTTGGTCTTTATCCACAGTATCGAAGTGAAACATGAGACATTAGCAACATTATTTGTAACTGAATTTTGAAAATTAAAATTATCATTTTAAGTAGCTTGCACTTTATAAATTAGTTGGTGCACGTGTATGAGAGGAAATAAACAATACTAACCTTCACTATCAGTTGACTTTTTATGTTTCCACACAATCATTTTAGTTGAACTATACATTCACTGCAATGTTTTATATGATTTGTGATATTAGTTTACTAGCAGCTTTGTTTTCATTTCCGTTTGGTTCTATGCTATCAATGAAATACCATTAATATGGATTTCAATGTTGGAATCCAGGGTCCTCACTCTGATTTCCATGGACCAAATTGTGGAAGCACAGCTTGTGTGGCAATCATTCAAAACAAGCAATTGGTTGTTGCTAATGCTGGTGATTCTCGTTGTGTCATATGCAGGAAGGGTCAGGTATGCTTTTCTTTATTCTTCTGTACAGCAATCTAGTTTCAGAGATATGCAAAAGGAAATTTGGTCAAGACCACTCAAACTCAAATCCATGATTGAACAGTGTGATAGATCAATTATAAAGCATGTAGGTCAACAGTGTATGTTAATGATCACAGCGCTAATTCTATTTTGTCATCTGACTGATTTACTTGTGGATTTGTGGGAACATATAATCTACATGTGAATGACAGTGTCAGTCAATGTAAAGTGAAATGGTTTTGGCATGTGTTTTCTCTTTTGGTTGTAAGTTAAAAGACTCAATAAAAGGCATAATGCACCATTGTTTCTTATATTTGATGTCTGATTGTTTTCTTTTTTGTTTCTAAGATTGTTAATCAGACTGAAATGTGCTTTTAATGATCTAAAACTGATTGAAATAGAAGGGAAAAAGTAGCTTTCACATCAGTTAATTGAAACCAAAACACTGTAGGACTGTTTAAGTCCAAAGCATAGAAAAGGAAAGGAATTCAAATTCATATTTTAACCTTTTATTTTAACTAAGAAATATTTCTAATTACTACATTATTTATCTAAGAGTTTTTTCTTCTCTTTGTTATGCATATTCACACTCAAATTTGAGTTCACACCCCAATTCAAGTTCACACCTAATCAACCTTCAACTCTTTTTTTTCCCCCTTTTTTCCCTGGGCTGATTTAGTGTGTGGTGATTTATTAGAGTAGTATTTTTGTCTTCTTGTGATATGATTGATTCCTGTTCAAGGTGGCGTGATTTATCTTGCACAATATATGTATGTGCTTTGTTTCATGGAAGTCCATTCTGCAGGCATATAATTTATCTAAAGATCATAAGCCTGACCTGGAAGTGGAGAAGGATAGGATCTTGAAAGCGGGTGGTTTTATTCAAGTAGGACGTGTTAATGGGAGTTTAAATTTGGCAAGGGCTATTGGTAGGTTCAGATCTTAATTTATTTATTTTTCCTATGCGAGAGGGTGGATCTAAAATTGAATTGCTCTTATCTGTTAAACCTCTTTTTGTGGCAGGAGATGTTGAGTTCAAGCAGAACAAGAGTCTACCTGTTGAAAAGCAGATAGTAACAGCCAATCCAGATATTAGCACTGTATGTCATATAAGCAGTCAAGTCTGTAGTGTTTCACTTAAGATTTGTAATTATACTTTAGCATTTCTATTTGTTAAAATTTTATAGTGGTAGATGATTCAAAAATATTTTAAATAATTTAATATACTTTTGTCAATGTTAGGAACCTATTAAGAAAATTTTTCTTAGATTTTGCTAATTTTAGATGCTATCTGGACCTTTCCTGGCATAGATGAGGTATTTTTCTTCCAATCAATGTTCTTTTTCATTTGCAATGTTCTTATTTTTTTTTTATTGTCTATCTTGCATTAGGTTGAGCTTTGCGATGATGACGAGTTTCTTGTTTTAGCTTGTGATGGAATTTGGTGAGTGACGTATATCATGCGGCTTATGATTTAGACACTGGCATCTCCATGCACCATCTTCTTTTGGACTGAAGTCTTAAGTGCTTTTGTGAACATTATAATTTTTATATGTCATAACTGATTGAGATTATTTTCTGGCTTTAGCTAAAGCCTGTTATTTTAAGTTTTTCTCAGCTAAAAGATTATATATTTTATATATATGCCTCCTGAATATGCAGAGGTTTATACTGCAGTAATGTGCTATTATTTTTGCCACAATTTTCATTTGTGCACTACCCAGAATTTTGTATGAATCTAAGCAAATTATAGATTTTTTTCCACTCTGTCTTGCAAATATAGCATGTTACATTTTTTTCCTTTCTCTGTGGCACATGCATTTTCATGTGTGTGTATGTTTCCTTGAAGAATTTTGATTCTCAAACTGTCTGTCACAAAGCAGTGTGGTCATGCTGGTTACCTGAGTGCTCTATTTATATGTGTTATTACCTGAGCACTTTGTTTACATGCCTTTCTTAATAGCACTCCAATCCTTGTCTGCATTTTTGCCTATGTAGTGTAGATAATAAATAACAAAGAAAAAACTAGGCAGTTTTCTCTGTTGTCATTTTCCCCCCAGATTGTTGTCTGACTTGTTTATTTAGTATATGTGACGTTAAATCATTTTTATTCCATTAATTTGATGATATTTGTCTCTGGTATGAAATAGGGATTGCATGTCAAGTCAACAACTAGTGGATTATGTGCGAGAGCAGTTGAACAATGTATGTTCATCATGGCCCCTCTTACAATATTATTAGTGTAAATACATGGATTAAATAGGACTTCTTTTTTTTATTTTTTTTTTATCAGCTTAAATAGGACTTCTTTAACACGGCTTACAAAGTGGTGATACAGAACTCTGAATTTATGCAGGAAACTAAGCTCTCTGCTATATGCGAGAAGGTTTTTGATAGGTGTTTGGCTCCAACAGCTGGCGGTGAGGGATGTGACAACATGACTATGATCCTTGTTCAGTTCAAAAAGCCTTTCAGTTCAGATGCTTCTGCCGAGGCTCAGACACTTTCATCTGATCAACCACCTAAAGCTGATCACAGTACAGACAAGACTGAATCTTGAGAAGCATTAGCCCCTTTGACCGAATTGTGGTACATTTTCCTCAACTGCGAACAAAAAGCATCATGCAGTCCAATTTCTCATTTTGGAAGTAAAATGCACTTAATATGGTTTCACTTTTGTACATGCATTTTCTTGGTGGTTCTTTATATAGAATTCAGGTGCATTTATGAGAATAGAGCTTTGAATTTGGATTAAGCTCATTTAACAGTAGCTTAAACCATGGCAGGAAGCCAGGAACACAGTATGATGTGTAATTAGCGTAGAAAATGAAACTTCTTGTATGGATTCTCATGGCTTCTTGATGATTAAACTAAATTGCAGATAAAAACGTTTTAAGTCTGTGGTTGGTGGTGTGCTCCCACCAGGCCACCACACACCCTATTAATTTCTTACTGTTGTGTCAATAAATGGGTCTTGCAGAACCAAACCATAATCCTTTTTATTTTTTTTCTCCCTTTCGGCTACAGCAGAAGCTCTGGCTGATTCAATATTATCACAGCTTAGGCAACTGTAAGAAACTGCGGGGCCTGAGGTTGTTTCAACTCCCCGGCTGGATGGTACACCATTTTTGTCGTTCGTTTTGGTTTAAGCACTAATTTTATTCCTATCCATCAGAGCTTCCCGTTACTTCTAGAATTTCTATAGTAGGAAAGTGTTTTAACGTTGTTTCTTCATGAAGATAGTAACATATGAAAGTTCTTTAGGAAGATGAGATTAAAAAGAGACTTTTTAAGGTTGGTGTTCTTAATGAGAGAGGGTGTTTCTTTTTGGCCATCTAATGAGAGAATTGGGTAGCATGCCTCTATCTTCCTTGAGTTGGTGATGAGTTCTGATCGTCTCCATCGTCAGTATTTTCTTTTCATTTTTATATATGTCTGTTGGTTTTGGTACTCTCTTTTTGTTTGAGGTTCTGTAAGTAAACTTGATCTTTTATTAATATAAAGTATCTATTTCCGGTTGGGCAAAAAAAAAAAAATTGAGAAAATTTGATTTAGGAATTTTGCCACCACGTTTCAGTTTTTAAGATTTTTCTTTTGCGTTTTAAAGTTGGTCTTCTTAATGAGAATTGGTGCATTAGTTTGTTTTGTCGTGAATTGGAGTTTTTGACTCTACCTTTCAGCGTGGAAGTCAATTTTGTTGAGATTAATAATATGGAAAACTGAATAGACATTAGAGGAAAGAGACTACGTTGGTTTCAATCCATGGTATAAGGTAATTCACTTTCGTCCAATTCTATAATATGCACTTCAAAGATGCCTCAATTTTGTCTTACCAACTAACAAATAACTCAATTTTGATCGGTAATGTTAAACTAAATTGCACATAAAACTTTCTAGGTGATAGTGCTCCCTCTTAGAGAAACTACGGGGCCAGAGGTTGATTTAAGTCCCCAGCTGGACCTTATATAGGGATGTTGTTGCTCGTGATAATCCTTCCATTACAAATTGAAGTTCTAGCTTTTAGGAAAATGTTTTGAGGACTTTGGAAACACATGAAAGTTGTTTAGGGAAGCTGAGTTGAAAAGGAGACTAGCAATGTTATATTTCTTTCATCTCACTCCAATTCTGAATAAATCTTTCTTTTTGATGATCTCTGTATCTGATTTGCTAATGTTGCTAAGCAAAAATAACATTAACAGTGTTACACATTCCAGGATTCCTGATACACCAGAGAGGTTGAATAGGTTCAGCACCAATTCCTCTACTAACCATTCTGTGCCTCCACTCATTCAGCCTATCTGTTGCCTCTGCATACCTCTTCTTACCTGTCTCATCCCTGTTTCCCGACCACAGTGTCTCCGCCAGTGCAGAAGCTCTAGGCCAAATTCTTGAATCCAAAACAACAGAATCCGCCTGCTCCGACCATAACGCCACCTCTCCACCAAGCACCAGTTCAGCCTCTGCCTTGCTCAACCCATATGTTATATCATAGTTGTATATGGTTTCCCATGTCTTAAAGGGTCCGCACCATGATCCCCCGTCTACACTCTTACCCCCCTGGTCGTACTCACTGTCATTCCCTACAAATTCACCATGGCCACAATCCAAGTAATAGTACTCCGATGAGGAGACAATGGCACGGTATCCCGCTTCAACAATCCGTTTGGTGTTGTTGACGCCATTGTTCCATGACTGCAAAATAGTATTCTCGCGAGGAAGAAATGATGAGTCCACTCTAATATTGTCATCTAGCAAAACATCCTCCCAGTAGACTACAGTGCGATTGAAGGAAACCATGTAAGGTAATGTGGAATTCACAAACATCTCGAGGAGATTGCTGAGGGTTCCGCCGTCAGAGAGGAAAGACTGAATGCTGGGGTCAGCTTTCCAACATCCAGGGACGATCTCATCAGCTCCGCTGTGGTAGAATGGCTCCGGAAACAGGTTCACCACGTCACGGATGACGTTTTTGAGCACCTGGTAGGTCTTCGGGTTCAAGGGGTTGAGATGGCCAGTTCCTGGTTCGGAGGCTAGCCGGTCCGACCATTTGGCTCCGGCCGGCCACCAGAACATGTTGGCACATGCCACAATTTCTGGGTAGGCTTCCGCCCACGATCCGGTATGCCCTGCAATTGTAAAATCCAATTCTCGATTTCACATCACAATTGGAGAATTCAACAAATTTTCGAAACATTGGATAAACTCACCTGGGGAATCTATTTCGGGGAGAATCCTGACCCCACGTTCTAGACCAAACTGGATAATCCGGGCGACATCGGCTGGAGAATACTGCATATCTGCTCCATAAGATCCCTTGGCGGCGAGATCGGGCTCCGATGGCACCACCAGAGGAAAAGACTGAGAATCGGTGATATGCCAATGGAAAACATTGAGCTTGTTAGCACTCATGGCTTCAATAGTCCTCAATATGTCCTTCACTCCATAGAAATTTCTAGAAGTATCCAACATTACTCCTCTGTGCGGAAAAAGGGGAGAATCCCACACATATAAACCCACTGCAACCCGTGAAGGCTCATCCCACACCAGCTGCGAGAAGGTCTCGAGACCCCTCATCGCTCCCCACACAGTCTCCGCCCTCAGGTAGGCAGTGACGCTGCCAGTGGGGATGGAGAGAGTGTACGATTCATTGACACCATGGTGGAGGAGGGCGGAGAGATCCGCCACGGAAATAGAGAGAGTTTCCAAAGCTGGGGAGGTGAGGTTGACCGAGGGGTTGAAAAGGGGACGGTGGTGCTCCGTGAGGACAAGGCGGAGGTAGCGGTTGACGGCAGGGGAAAGGTGTTGATGGGAGGGAGAGGTGATGTTGAAGCTGGGAGAGAGCAGCGTGGCTAAGGGTTTGGGCCATGAAAGGGTCCGTGGTTTCGGCCAGACATTGACGGCGGATTGCAGGGAAGAGATTGGATATGGGAAGATGAATGAAAAGCAGAATATGACGAGAAATTTGGGCCATAGATGAGGCATTTTCACAATAGTAACTGACAATTTGCTCTGTTCTGTGCAGAAAGTAGTGTTGGGTCTAAGAATATGAATAAGGCAAGGGTGCAGGCTGCACTGCTGCCGCTAATTAGTCGTACTTGAAGGTCAACTTGGCTTGTTTTGTTGTCAATTGGAATTTTTCACTTGGCCTCGCCATGGTATACTCAATTTCTTCTCTTCCCTTCAGTTAATAATATGGAAAACTATTAATAATTTATTAATTCGAGTGAAATGAGTTTTGTTTTTATTTAAATAAAATTTTAAATTTAAATTTTATAAATAAAAATAGATATTAAAAGAATTTTCTTTATTATTAAGATCTAACACGACTCGACTTTAAATTTTTGATATTGAAAAGTTAGTATATAAGAAAAATAATATGGAAAACTGAATAAAGACATAGTGGCAAATGTTAGTCTCAATCCATCTTATAAATTAATCCCTATGTTCTACTTTATAAGGTTGCAAGTAAACAAGCTACGAGATACCTGACTTTTGGCTTAATGCAAAACATAGATACTTTTATTTTGATCCATACTAATGATACTACTGATTTTTAATCTACAAAACAACAAATCGACACTTGATTATTCATGAATTCAACTCTAATGTTAAAAGCAATGCATGATCAAAAGTGAGAAAACATATACAAATTATTTGATCTTAATTTATAAAGGAGAGAAAGGGGTCGGAAGCCTTTTGTTAAGGCAAATGGCTAGCATTCAAGGATCAAGATAATATATTTGTGCAGGCACTGAAATTCAGAGGAAGTACAATCTACTTATTATAAGATCCACACATTTTAAAAGCATAGACCTCCCAATACATTTGTGTTACAAACAGGCCTTCCACTGCGTCAGTGCTTGTTTTTTTTCAAATTAAGAGGTAAATGTACTGTTAAAATTCAATAATTTTAATGGTATCATTGGTAACTATATTGGGCTCGAATTCGAAAAAGCCCAATTTCTGCCGCTTCCGAACCTACCTTCCTTGACGAGGGGTGGGTTTTTTGGAAAAAGGGGATGGTGGGTCTGCACGAACGGCTTATGCATGGCCCATTAATGTGCCATTGACGGATTCGGTCCAAAAAATCCTTGAGTGATTTATTCAAAAAAAAAAAAAGCACAAATTTTTTACATTTATTCTGCATTGATTAAAGTAAAGTCAAGAATCAAGATTTATATTTTTTTATATAAATTAATTGTAAAAAGTATATTTATGATTTTTTTTATTTTTTATTTTTAATGTTAATGTCACATAAATAATTTTAATTAAGCAATTAATAACATTAAAATGAACTTTTATTTTTTTTATAACAATTAATAAAAAATATAATAAATACGCTCTTAAGAAATATACTAGAAAAACACTTTCTTCAGTCTATCTTGGCACATGATAAGGCGATATTTATTATTTAATTATTGTATTTTTGATAATTTATTATTCAAAATATAATTTATTATTCAAAATAAAAAGTTAACCTTGATTTAAAATATATGCCCTGTGTCAAATTATTATTGGTACTTTGATAAAATTAAGGTTAGTTTTTATACTTTCAATAGCTTATTTGGTTTGAGATAAGGGGAGGGAGATAAATTTTTTTATTTAGATAATAAAAAATTGAAATATTAGAGGTAAAGAGAGAAGAGGGAATGAGCTTTCCCTTATTTTGTTTTAATGTTTAATTTTTTTATATTTTAATCTAAAAAAAAGAAGAAAAAAAAAAAGAGATGAGATGAGAGGAGGACGAAAATAAAAAAATATCTCTAACCTTATATTTGGACGGAGGGAAATGGAGAGGAGAAGTCCCTTTCCCTCATTTAAATAAATAACTAAATTAAACTTTCATTTAAAATTGAGGGAGTTGAGAGGGAAGGGGAGGAGAGTGAAGGGAAGATCTCTACTCTTTTTTTGTTTGGATAAAATAATTAAATGAGGGAGAAGGAAGGAAGATAGATGGAAGGGTGCCGAACTCCCTTTAAATCCCTTACTTTTAGCCTATATTTGGATAACAATTAGTAAAGGAAAGAAAGGGAAGGGGAGGGGAGGGGAGGGGGAGGAAAGAGAGGAGAAGTGAATGGAAGGAAAATGTTGATATTAATTTTATTTGAATAGATAAAAGTGAAGGAGAGGAAATGATAATATTTTTATTTAATTAAATAATTTAATAAAAAAATAAAAAAGAATAAAATTTTTAAAATTTATTAATTAGATAAAAAATTGAAATAAAATGTTTATATATATTTATTTATTTTTAAAAAACTAAAACTAAAAATAAATTAATTAATGTAATCCGTCTCAATCCCTTCAAATTGAAAAAAATTGAAAACATAGGAGGGGAGGGGCTTCATCTCCCTCCATCACTCTCTCCTCCATTAAAATTATTTATCTAAATAGAAAAAGATGCTCTCTCCCTCTCACTCTCCTCTCCTTCCCTCCTAACTTCCTCAATTCAAACAAAGTGTTAAGGTTAAAATGCCATTTTGGTTCATATACTTTAACAAAAAGCTTCTCTTTAGTTATTTACTTAAGAAAGTCCCCTTTTAGTTCTTAAGATTAATTATTCAACCTCTTCTTAATCTCTCTATTATTTTTTTACACATGTGATATGTTAGATTACAAAAATTTCAAACTCGAAGGACTAAAAAAAAGGTTTTTTCTTTTTTTCTTTTTTCCTTTTTAAAGTAGAGAAACAAATAAAAAAGATGCAATTTTTAGTCTCTTTTTAGTCCTTCTACTTAAGAGTTTCTATCATTTAATATGTTATGTGTGTAAAAGGAAAACGAGAGGGCTAAAAAAGGGGTTAAATAATAAATTTTAAAGACTAAAATGGAGGTTTTTTAGTTTAAGAGATTAAAAACAGACTTTTTGTTAAAAGTAATAGAACTGAAAAGAGATTTTAACTTATTTTTAATCTTTCTAATTTGGGAGACTCAAAGGGATTTAATTTACATTTATTTTATTTACTTTTTTAATGTAATTAAATTTTTTATTTTAGATTTAATTTAATATATAAATTTATAAAATT